CTTTGCCGCTATTACGAAAATTAATTTTTAAGAAAAAAACTGGAGAACGATGTGCAAAAAATATTTGTTAAAAACTTAGATAAAGTAATTTTCAATTTTTGTTGTCGTTAGTATTAAATATTTGGTTTACATCTTGAGTCAGACGTCTTTTTTTCATACAAATTTATCAGACTGTATACGCAATAGGCAAAAGAACTTTAAAAAACACTCATTTCAACCAATTTTTGTCGTTAATTTACTAATCTTCTTTTTTTCTTTCTGTGACAACCTAGCGATTATTTAAGCATTTAAAAAGTAAGAAGAAACCTAAAAATACATTCTTATTTCTACTGACATAGTTTTAATTTACAAATAGATTAGAAAATTTGCATACCATGATCTGCACAAGCAATTAATTGGTACAACAAAAAAACCAGCAAATACAGGATCAGTTTCATTGAAAATCTGCAAAACAAATCTTATTGTAATTTAAACAGATTAAACTTACTGAAAAAAGATAGAGACATTGAGAAAAAAAAGTTACGTACCTGACGTTATCTTAGCCAATTAATACGTAAAATTTGTCAGCAAAAACTAATGTTTAACGGTAGACAATTCACTGATGATAAAAGCACCAACACATTAAATAAATATATATTGAAAAGTTATTAGCAAAAAAAAAAAAACTGCTAAGAAGAAACTGTTCAGCACTGTCATTGCAATAATTGCATATCAAAGTATTACTCTGACAAATAGAAATGGTTAAACAAATTTGGAACTCTGAGTTTGAATTTTTTCAAATTATAGCAAATTTTTCAGTGAAATTATGCTAACATTTGCATACAGTTTATATATTCAAATGAGTTAAAACTATATTAGAACTAAAGATAGACACAAATTCCTTGCAAACCACTTTTCCAAATCAGAACGTTTAGCTATAAAAATTGATGTTGATCAAATTTCATACTATTTACAGCCTTTGTCATAATATGGAAACAGAATTTTATTCTTACAAGAAGATAATAAAGAAGTTCTATGAATTAATTTATATTGATATTTTGCAAATATTTCATTCAGTACTTTTTTTTTTT